ACTGATCATTATTTTCACTTTTGTCCCCAAACCAAAAGTTTTGGTTAGTGGAAACAGGTGCTAATGTAGGTCTTCCATAACTTGCAAAGAGAGGGATCCCTGAGTGGGCAAGTCAATCACAGCCAGGTCATACATCGGTTTACACATTCATTCCTTTGTTCATTTATTCAACACCAAGCTGCCACCCTATCCCAGGGGCTGGCGCTAGGAGGGAAGCAGGCCTTTCTCTAAAGGAGCTCTCAGGGTGTGACATCTGTTACCCCAACTCTCCCCTCCCAGCCGCCCTGAAGAACATGTGCCTTCCGGCCACCCTGCCATTCCACCACTGCCCAATAGGTGGCAGCAAACAGGCGAGGGGAAACAGGGAGGGCAGGGGGCGAGGGGGGCAGGGGGGCGAGAGAGTGCTGCCCCGTTTTCTGGCAAGGACCTATTGCTCTGACACTCCAGGGCAGACACCCACATCCCAGAGGCAGTGATGTCCATGGCCTCTTTGTGAACTGGCAAAGACATTTGGTGACACGTATTAGAAGACTGTGGCTGGTGGCTTAGATGCTCAGTGACAGTAAGTTCAGGGTAGCTGGGGTCGGGGCTGCTGCTGTGCCTCGGAATGGACCGGAACCAGGACTTTGATTTCTCATGTCGGCACTGTGCGTGGGGTCCTGTTCTTGTCTCCTCGCCACACTGGGCTTCCCCATTGCCCTGAGTGGGAACTGTTTCAGGCCTTGCTGGCTGGCAAGGCGTCTGAATTCCCGGCAAGGGACTTACTAGATCAGCTCAACTTGGGCCCTGAGTCTGCCCTGACATCAGCAAGTGGTGACAATTTACAAGCACAGCGCAGGGCACTTACAGTTGGCCCTGGGAGACTGGCTGGAAGCTGGGGGACCCTCCCCAGGAGAGAGCTTGGGGATGTGTTTAGGTTTGCAGGGTGTTTTAGAGAAAAACCAGTCTTTCTGGCACTGTGTCCCCTTACTCACCCTGCAGTTACACTCACAACACTCCTGACACCAGGCACGAGGGTTTCTTCCCCACACCAGGCCATAGGACTGGTATCCAATCTCTCAGGTTAAGGCCCCCCCACCCCACCCCACATGCCAGCGTGAAGCCCCGTTATTACCTGTGTTTCTGGCCCACTAGCTACAGATCCAAGGCTCCCAGGCCCCCTCCTTGCTTGGGCTCACTTTCGAGAGCAGCTCACAGCTTAGGTCAACACTAGCATTCACCGGCTGGTTAAAGGACACAGTGAAGGACACAGAGGAGCCACCAGGGAAGAGATGCAGAGGGCGAGGCAGAGAGGGCCCCAAGCTCAGAGCTTCTGCCCTGTGGAGTTGGGGTGTGTCACCCTTTCGGGGTGATTGTGTTTGCCAACCTGGAAGCTCTGAGTCCAGGGCTGTTGGGGTTTATGGAGGCCTTCTCACTGGGCCTGACCAATCATTAACTCTGTTTTCAGCCCTGTGTCTCCTCAAGAAGGGCTGACAATTCTGAACTTTTTTTTTTTTTAAGATTTATTTATTTGTGCACACAGAGCTGGGGTACAGGCCAGAGGCTCAGGGGCTGTGAGAGGCTTCACCAGAGACAGAGTGGGGAGCAGAACAGGCAGCTCGATGAAGTACACTGCTGAGGGGAGCAGCGGGGCTGATCAGGAGAGGTCTGCAGCACCATGTGGTCGCCTCCGGGGCAGGAGGGAATCAAACTCATGCGGAAGTGGCTTTTAGATTCTCAGTGCTGTGCTTTAACCCGCTGCGCCACCAGGGAGGGCCACTTTTTTTTTATATAACAGTTTATTTTTACATCATTTTGTACATTTTTTTTTCCATCTCAATTGTAATCCCCGCGGGTTTCCCATCACCAAGTCACCCGTGTGCCATCACCATAATCCTGTGCACTTCCCTCCCTAACCCCCACCCTCATTTTTTGAACTTTTTTTTTTAAGATGTATTTATGCATACGGAGGTATGGGGGTGAGGGGAGACAGGGGTGAGAGGACTCACCAGAGACAGAGTGGGGAGCAGAACAGGCAGATGTACTGAAATACACTGCTGAGGGGAGCAGCAGGCAAGACTGGAGAGGCCTGCTGTGCCAGTGGGTCAGCTCCCTGGCCAGGGATGGAGCTTAGGATTCAGTGGCTGTGGACAGCTTCATAGTGCTGTGCTTTAGTCCCTTGCTTCACGAAGAAGGGCCCCCAATTATGAACTTTGAATGCTGACCCGGTTTTACCCCTCCATCCAGGAGTTCACCAGCATTAATTGCCTCGTTAGAACAACAGGTGCTGCTACCACCTGCCACAGGTTTCCTCAGCCCTGCGTCAGGAACAGAGGGCAAAGAGCAAATGTTAGGTGCTTCGTGCTCTTATCACTTAGGAAACCAGCAGGGTTTCAGGTGCTCTGGACGAGGGATCAGGGACCAACATACATTTTCTATTATCTCAAACAGAGCCAGCCGTGGGGGCTGTTCTGTACGTTCCCACCTGTTACGTTGTAAGGGGGAGCTGTCAGGTTGGGGGGAGGGAGCAGCTCTGGCTTCACTGCGCAGGCCTGTGGGTGTCCCAACCCCCTGGCACTCCCCTTTCTCCTGACCCAGAGGGGTCCCAACAGAAGGTGCCCCTACCCAGGGCTGATGTGAGCTGATGGGTAACACCCTTGGCTGTACTCCTGGGGGCGGAGAACCCATGGAGCGTCTGACACTGAGCTCCTGAAGCCCCCTGGGGAGGGGAGACAGCCCCCGCCCAGGGCGACCTAGTGGAGTAAGTGCCCGAACTGGCTGCTTGCCCATGTCCCTACCTGCTCTCCTGCTGGATTTTCCTGAGCTTTCCGGAGCCAGTGCGCCCCGTGTCCCCCTTGACACCTACACATGTTCTCTGCTGTGGGGGCCCAGGCCAAGACCTAATCGCCAGATTTCTCTAATGACTGGTGAAGAGTCTTTGAAAACAAGAGCACACACTATCCCATTCAATTCTGCCCTTTTCTCCAAAAATAGAGCTTTATTTAAAAACGGTTTCGGGTAGTACCAACAAACATTAGGGAATTATTTAAATACGATACAAACAACGAACAAAGTTAGAAATAAATACAAACATCCAGAACACTATATCATCTACTCAGGATTCTGAAAGAAATACAGAGGCTTGAGACCAAGGCATCACCTACTCTTTACCTAATGTCTTTCAACAGGGATTTGGGGGTTCAGACTATAGTTCCCAGTCTCTGGGCTTTGCTGGGATTGGTCTGGGTGCTTTTCTGGGACCTGCCTGAGCCCCACTGTCTCCCAGCCCCATAATTCTGGTATGTTGTTCTTTGTGCTCAGTGATGCAGCCTAATTTCAGGGAAATGCCTGCAAAATGCAAGTGTGTCCAGCAAAGGAGTTGTTGACATGGTCTAGGGGACAGAGGTCAGCCCAGCTGACCAGAGACCAAAGATCTCCCCCGAAGGGACATACATAGCAGGCCAACATTTTAGCTACTTTGAAACAAAAACAAGTGTACCACTTAACAAGTAGCCTGCTCACCTCTTCTGTAGCGGTGGGCCCCAGAGACACACCGCATGTGGAAGGCCACTGGAGTAAGTCAGGAGACAGGAGGTTGCTCTGGTTGAAGTTGGGGGAGTCCTGTAATACATGGTCTCCCACCCCCATTGAGACTCTGGAATCCAAAGTCTTTTGGGAACATGGGTTAAGCACCCCTGAACCAGATGCCCCTGGGAGCTGTTCCAGATCTTTCACTAAATACTGTACTCTCAGGTGAGCTTCAAAACAACAACCGTAGGTGCAGAGAAAAAGGAACCATGTTCCACTCTTGGGGGGCAGGTAGAGTGGTGGCAAGCAGCCTGGATTTAGCTTAGAAAACTAAAACTGGAAATACTGTCTGATCTGGAAATCCACAGAATATGAAACCCAGACATTCTACAATGTTCGCGCGGCAACATTTTATAGCAGGTGGGACATGGACGTGGCCTAAATGACCATCGGCAGACACCTGGGTCAGGAAGGTCTTTCCACGCCACGGAGTATATGTAGCTAGGAAGAACTGTATCTGTTTTCAACAAGTGGGGGGGGGGGGACTTGAGAGAGTCTGTCAGAATGATAAAAATACTGGATATTTACATAGTAAACAATTCAATAATGTAAGACCCTTTCTAAAACTAGTGGTCATCAATAAATATCCCAAGGGGTCTAAGGGTAGAGGGAGGTGGGAGGGAAAAGGGTCAGGGTACACACAAGGGATGACGGTAGGGAAAAATAGCAAATATGTCCTGGAATAAGTTACAAGTAACTATACTTCCCGTCTCTGACATCTGATCCCAAACTCATATTTCAGCTTCATACTTATGCTCAGGCATATTAAAAGCACTATGGTACTTAAATTATTCCCTGTCTAATGAGGCCCAGTTACTATCAAGTCATCCACCCGCCCACGCACCCATACTTATTGAGCACCTACTAGTGACGAGGCACCAAGCCAGGCAGTCAGTATCTAAGAAAAAACAAAACAAAGAATACAGCCCTGTGGGCAAAATGCCTATGAAGATCCTTTCTTCACTCACAGAGAAACGGAAGCCCTGGCAGGTCAAAGGGCAGGGCCTGGCCACAGAATCAAGACTGTTCAGCTCCCCAGCCACAAAGCTACACAAGTCTTGGCTCCCATGAGTGAAAACTCAACGATACCTGCTTGTGTGTAACCAGGTGGGTGCAGGTTAACAAAGCCCACCCCCACCCCCCAGGTAAGGATGGTCCGCTATTTCCAGAGACACTACTTCCCATCACTGGAAGGGAAAACGAGACTCTATAATCAGAGCAGCGCACCAACAGGTCTAAATGCCAAAATGGCGCTCAGGAGCCCAACTCCCTGCCAGGTGCTATCCTGTCAACAAATCGGGACCCCTGCAAGGTGGACCATTTGTTTCTTTGTTGGGAAAGGGGACAGGAACCAGGGTCCCTGTGGGACAGGAGTCTGGCTCCCGAGAGCTCAGTTGCCCAACTTGGGTGAAGAAGGAAGGAGGTAGGTGAGCAGCGAGAGAAGTGGAGAGACGAAGGCTTCCATCACTGCGCTGTGGGGTCACCTGGGGGACGCCCAGCAGCCTCCCTGGAGCCTGGAGCTACAACACAGCACACCCCATGCTGCATATGTCTCCGGTGGCGCTGCAGAGAGGGTAGCCGAGGCACAGAGGTGGCACACGCAAGGCCACACAGGCAGCAGCACTGGGCCTGGGACCAGGCTTGTCTGATGTTAAAAACGGCAATGCCGGCTTTGGCTTTGAAGGCCAATGCCCGTTCCCTTCCCTTCTAGCACTTTCTGTTAAGTGGATTTTTCTTCACTGCCTGCCCTGGGGGAGAGAATGGGGAGGCCGAGACGTGGGGCGAGGGAGCTCCATGGGCGGAAGAAAGGAGACTGGTGCATCTGGGCCTCCAAATTCCTTCTCCCCGAATCCCAGATGGCCCTAGAGGCGTCACCCCTGGGGTCTACCTGACCTGACTGCACCTGTGCCACGTTGCTCCTGCCTCTCCCACAGGGCAGTGGGGTGACTGCCCCACTCACCTCTGACGTCGACCCAGGGCTTACTCCACTCCTCTTGCAGCTCAGCCTGGACCAGGTGGGTCGGAGGACACCGTGGCTTCTGGCTGCCCAACCTGACCAACAGCTGTGTGTGGGATTCTTCAAGGGCTTCGAAGACCCTCTGCTATCTCAGTGATGTCTCGGGGTCCTTAGGAGGCTCAGCAGCAGCAGACTTGGCAGGAAGTGGGGGTCAGCTCACCTGGCCATGTAATGCCCCAGGGTCCTACCCCTGACCTCAGTCCCCCAGAGGCTCTCAGCTCCCTGGCTGCCAGCCCCCTTTTCCTCAGCATCTGACTCTCTCCCGTCCTCTTCTTCCTCCTCCTCTAGCTCCTCCTCTTCCTCCTCGGGGCTGCTGTCTAGGAAGGTCAGTGTCTGAAGAGAAATTGGGGGCTCCCCAGGCCTCAGACTCAGCCTTAGTGGCAAGGAGCCCTGAGGGGCCCAGGACGGGAGGTCACCGTTCAAGAGCTCTTCCTGAGAAGCTGAGTCCTCAGAGAATTTGTCCCCGCCCAGGCCTGGGCCTCCAGGACCCTTCTTGCCCAAATAGCCAGAGGACCTGGCTTCATTCCAGGAGGAGGAGCCCACAGTGCTGGCCCAGCTTCCGTCTGAACAGCCGCAAGCAGGGGACTCTTTGACTTGGATCAGAGGCTTCCCAGGCCCCCCTGGGGTCTGGAGCTCCTGGCCCAGGAAGGGGGGTGGTTCAAGATAGGGCTGGAAGCTGCTGCTGTCCTCATCTTCGTCCTCGTCCTCAGCACTGCCGTCCGGTCCGGCTGGGGCTTGTACCCTAGGGGTTAGCCTGCCCCTTCTGGTCATTTCCTTTGGGGAACAGAGGACCAAGTTGTCTGGCCACTCTGGGCTGCAGGACTGAAAGGGTGCCTCGGAGTGTCTGTGTCCAGAGAAGTCCTGATATGGGGGTTGGGGGAGGAGAGAACAGAGAAGTTAGGGCCCCTTGAACTATGGCTGTCCCCATTTGGAGTCCTCTGGAAACTGACTGAGACAATGTGAGCAGTTTCTCAGGGAGGTGATCCCAGGACACATCAGGATGGGAATGGGCAGGGGAGCCCCTCTCCAGATGGGGGAGGGAGCATAATAAGAGGGGTGTCATGGCAAGCTTGTCTAGGGCAGCAGCTGACCCCTGCTGGGGACCCAGGAGGCCAGTGTAGCCCACATGGCTGGAACAGGCCCCACTAGGCGTGAGGATGGAAGCGTGGGTGACAGGGCTCACTCCCAAGGCGCTCTTGCAGCCTGCCTCACACATGGGCAGCGTGAACACTGGAGGCCAGAGAAAGCCCTGGACACAGGGGCTGGCTGCTGGAGCCCAAGTGCATCTCTCCAGTAAGTGGGAAGGTGGAGGCCAGGGCAGGGCGCAGACCTGTACACAGAGGTCGTCTTTCACTAGTGGGGGTTCCCTGTGCTTCTAGTGCTGGGAGCTTTATTCTCAGGGACTCTCCAAATATACCCTCAAAGGCTCCAGGCCTACCAGCCCTCAGCAGGGCTCAGCTTCCCCAGCCAGGCTCTTATCTGCACAAATCTGACCCATCTGGCTCCTTCAGCCTTCCTCGTGGCCCACTGGCCCTTGGGGTCTAAGGCCATGAGCCAGAAGACAGGGGCTGAAATTCTGGCGTCAGCCTGGACAAGACTTGCCCTGGTTAAGCTGTGACCTTAGAAGGGGCAGGGCACTTCTGTGACTTCCCCTTTTTGCTGCTTATCTCTCCTCTGCCTCTTCTGGTTACCTCTGCTGAGGCCCAAGGGGGCGGGGGGGGGGGTTAGGAGGGCGGACAGGGGCTCATCTCTTGTCACCTGATCAGTCATTACAGAGATGAAGTTACTTAGCCAAAAGGGACTTAAGTCAGGTTTTCCATGCAGGCCTACTTGCTTTAGTTCAATGCCAAAGGAATGAATTACTAATGACAAAATTTAGACATACAGGAAGGACAGGCTTTGCAGCCCGACCACCTGACAGTCTGTGCGAAGTACCTCTAAGTCTAGGCCCTCCACACTGCCATCCCTTCCCCCCAACTTGCATACCAGGGTCTGTGGCTTCTTGGTCTGCTGGAACCAGGGGTTCCTCTTGATGCTCCTCTGGATCACACACCGTGTAGCAATGGCCAAGGGCACAGGCAGCAGCAGCAGCGCCAGGAAAGCCCAGCTGGCTCCTGAGGAAGGAAAACCAGTCACCACCACGGCCATCACTTCAATGGCCCTGGCTACCAAGTGCATAGATGCTGGGGGTTCAGGCTGTTCCCTGAAAGCCTTAGAATAAAGCCAGCCTACAGCCTGTGGGCACCAAGGTCCAGAGAGGTGATGTCAGCTGCTCAAAGACACACAGTGAATGTGCTGGCTCCAAGATTATAATTACGGTGTCTGTGTCTCTTGGCTCATGTTTTTTTATTTTTATTTTTTATAATATCATAGTTTGTTTTTACATCATTTTGTGCCTTTTTCTATCTCAGTTGTAATCTCCGTGGGCTTCCCATCGTGAAATTACCCGTGTGCCAGAACCATAATTCCGTGCACACAATCCCCCCCCCCCCATTTTTGACCCCATTCCACTGTAAAATGTCTCTGGTATATAGTTGTTCATTATTATTTTCCCCCGGTCCTTTATGCTTCTGCTATGAGTGAAACCACCTGGTATTTTTCCTTCTCTTTCTGGCTTATCTCACTAAGCATGATCTTTTCCAGCTCCATCCAAGTTGCTGCAAAAGACATGTGTTTCTCTTTTTTGGTTGCTGAGTAATATTCCATTGTATATATGTACCACATCTTTTAATCCAGTCATCTACTTTTGGGCATTTGGGCTGCTTCCATGTTTTTCCATTTGTAAATAAAGCAGCAATCAACATGGGGGTGCAGGTATCTTTTTCAATCAGTGTCTTTGTGTCTTTTGGGTAGATACCTAGGAGTGGGATTGCTGGGTTGTAGGGAAGCTCCATGTTTAGCAGTTTGAGGAACCTCCAAACAGTTTTCCATAGTGGTTGTACTAGTTTGCATTCCCACCAACAGTGCAGAAGATTTTCTTTTTCTCCACATCTTTGCCAACATTTCTTGTTTTAAGATGTGTCTTAGCTCATGTTCTTAACCACCATATGATGACAATCCGAGGCCGGGGGAAAAGCTCTCATTTCTCCATCACATTGCACCCACCTGTGGCCTCCGGTGAGAAGCAGATGGGGTTGGAGAACTGGCTGTATTTGGGGGCAGCAAAGGTGTAGATGGTCCTGGCACTGAGGCAGTAGCTTTCATCAGTGGTGGGCTGGAGGGGGATCTGGACCAGCTGGCCAGAGGGAGTGATCGGGAAGAGGGTCTGTTGGAGAGAAGCAGAGGGAAGCTGACCTGCTGTGGAGGAAGGAGGTGGGGATGGCAGACTGGCTACACCTGTGATCCCTGCAGCCCTGAACAGAAAGCTCAAGTGTTAAAGGAACACTTCCCAGCATGCCCGGCTTCCTTTTCCACAGAGTCTCCTGGGCTCCAGGAGATACACACTCTTGCCAAAATGAAGCAAAAAAAAAAAAAAAAAAAAAACCTAAACAGGGCCCTTGCTGATGGTGCAACGGGTTAGGACGCAGCGCTCAAGCTGGCTGCAGCTGTTTCAGTGCGCATTTGATCCTGGCCCCGAAGCTGACCTACCTGGCACGGCAGACCTCTCCGGTCTCGCCCGCTGCTCCCCTCAGCAGTGGACTTCGTCCATCTGCCTGTTCTGCTCCCCACTCTGTCTCTGGTGCAGCCTCTCACTGCCCCTGAGCCTCTGGCCTGTACCCCAGTTCTTTATGCATAAATCAATAAAAATCTTTTAAAAAGAAAAACCTAAATAGAATACCTCAACAATTCTCACATCACACAGTGAAACAACACTCTAACAAATGCACTAAAACCTGCTATTAAAATTACATTCACCTGTTTCTTCTGCCCTGCTGTGGAGCACTTGAAATGACATGCATGGCTTGCATGTTATTCCTGTGGACAGTGCTGGTCTAGAATATCTGTAAGGTTCTGGAAGACAGGGCCCACGTGGCATGGGAGCCCAAGGCCCCAGGATCCAGACTATGCTGAGGTCAGGACTGCGATTGCCGGGGAAGTGGAGGAAGATATGAGGGAGGAAACAGGGGTCAGTGGGCCAGGCCTATGGCCCAGATAGGGCCTGTGCCTCGCTGGGGCCAGTGTCCCCAGAACACAGCTGTGGGGTAAAGGGAAGTGACCAGGTATTTTCCTCCCTCCTGCCACTAGCATCAATGATTGACACCTGTGGTCTTACTCACGTGCCTGATGGTGGCACCTGGGTAATGTCGCTGTGTTGTTGTAATAGTTGGGTGAGTGGGCACAGCTGAGTCCAGAGACGGAGCATAAAAGGGCGCAGCATGAAGACGGAGGGCGGAGGGCCAGAGGGCCGCGCGTCCGGTGCAGTAGAGGCCGGAGGGCCAGAGGGCCGCGCGTCCGGTGCAGTAGAGGCCAGAGAAGGGCCCACCAGAGCGCCCAGGAAGAGTGGCAGTTGCCCTGCCAGCCTCCTGGCACCCAGGCCCCTGCCCGTCCTGCGCCAGTTGCTTCATGACAAATGGTGTAGAAAGATCATTACAAGCCTGAAAAAGCCACTGAGGACTCCAGGACTCTCCTTTACCTATCTGCCCTGGTCACAGAGAACCTGCCCTGGGCCTGCTGGCGATACATGGCTCTGCCCATTCCTCTCCCAGTTGTCTAGGGCTCCTTGGGCATTACAACTGCAGAGCTGAGCACTGAGACAGACCCCGTGACGGCAGAGCCAAAAATATTCACTAGCTGGCTCTTTACATAGTAAGTTTGCCAACCTCTGCCACACACACACACATCTGCAGCGGATACACACCAAGGATAGCTCTGTAGTCATCTCAGGGTACTTAAGGTTTTCTTTTTCTGAGTTTTCTGTAATGAAGCTGGTAGTGTGGCCAGTGGGCCTCCTGAAACCCATCATACAGATTTTAGTGGGGCAAAAAAAGATTTCATGAAAAAGAAAATTAGGCAGAAAACTGCTGAGCTGTTGTCACTGTAACATGTATGGGCAGGTGCCTTGTGGGGCAGAAGGGCAGGGGTAGGTGACAGGACAGTCACTGCGCAGTCAGGGGCTGGCTGCCAGGAGGGAGGAGCATGCTGGGAAGGCTTCCTGGAGGAGGTGCGCAAGGAGTAGGCGGGGAGCATGAGGAGCACTGGGGGCAGGAAGGGGCTTCTTACCTTGTTTTTAGTCTTCTCCTTCCTGAAAGCCACCTCATATTTCAGGTTGGATGGCGGCATGCAGTGGGGCAGCTGGTATGTGGCATTGACGCTCAGGAACTCCTTTGTCCGAGTGACTACCAGGACAGGTGGGGCCGGCTCCACTGGCAGAAACAGAACAGGACCAGTCAGAACCGTCTGGGGGCCACCAAGGATCCATTCCCCTGCTTTTCTGGAATGGAAAAAGGACACCAGGATGGGCCAAATACCTGCTGGGCGTCAAGAGTCCTGCGGCCATTTTATTTAAACACTGCGGTAACCCTGGGAGGGAGCAGTGACTATTCTCTGGGTGAGCCGATGAGTCTTGGAGAGGGAAAGGTCCAGGGGAATTCAGTGAACCTGCTTCCTTTCCCTCCTGTGCCTTTCACTGGACGTCCTTTGTGTATCACTGGCCTGTCAGAATCCTGCCCCTCTATGTTAGCTTTCCATTGCTGCTGTAACAGGTTATAACAAATTTAGTGACGTAAACTACACACATTTGTTATCTCACAGTCTATAGGTCAGAGTCGAGTGGCCACAGCAAGGCTCTCTGGTCTCAGAAAATGTTGGCTGGCCTAGGCGCTTATCTGGAATTCCGAAGAAGAGGGGCTTCTGTGTTCTGTCAGTGCTTGGCCGAGTCCTGTTCCTGGGACTGTGGGACTTGCTGGTAATTAGCAGGGAGTGCGGAGTGTTTCAGTCCGGAGTGTTTCAGTCCCTGTAGCACCTGTATTTCCTATCACACAGCCCCTCAGCCTCCAAATCAGAAATGCCATGTTGAGTCCTTCTCACATGTCAAAGCTCTGATTTTCCTTTCTTCTACATGTCTTCTGCCTCCAGCTGCAGAAAGTTCTCTGCTTTTGTTTATTTTTAAAAATTTATTTTTACATATTCTTCATTGTGTGCCTTTTCCCATCTCGGTTGTAATCCCCACGGACTTCCCACCACCAATTCACCCATGTGCCATCACCATAGTCCCGTGCACCTCCCTCCCCCCCATTTTTTTTTTTAAAGATTTATTTATTTATTCATACAGAACTGGGGTACAGGCCAGAGG